CCAATGAGAAAGCGTGTATTTCAGAGCTCGGAACAAGTGCAGGTGGCTACTGAAAATTGAAACAGTTTAGCCAGTGCCGTGTAGCGGTGAATAAACGTGTTTTCTTTAGTCTGTCCGTGTTTTTTCATAGATTTTATTAGTTTGTGTGTTTTTGACTTTTGAATACTCAGTTTACTTGTTGATTTAATTGTTGTGTTGATTGTTCTTGTGTGTCCTAAATATGGCTCTTTGGAGACCTTGGGAAAATGCTCCAAGCCACGAGGAGATGGTTGATGAACCTGTGCAGGCAGAATTCTTTCATAAAGATTTAGAGGAACAGACCCAAAGAGTAATCCTAAATATGTATGATTGTCTGAAAAACGAAAATCCAGATTCCTCGCAAAATCAAATTCTAAACAGAATTTGTATCCTGACAAAAATCAGTCGGTCTACCATTTATCGGGTTATACTCGTAAAAAGGGGAGATGTAGTCAACCATTCCTTCCACAGAAAGCGCATAGGGCAAAAATTAAAAAGAACAGACGTGGGTTTTCAGGAAGATATTCGTCGTATAATATACGGATTTTATAAAGAAAATTTGGTGCCCACGTTGGAAATGATACGGGATAAATTAAAAGATTATCCTGAAGATTTTTATAATTACAAATGCTTAGACTCACTGCACTGTATTGTAAAACTGTGTGGTTTTCAATACAAAAAATTAGATAAAAGAATGGTGATTATGGAGTCGTCTCGAATCGTTGAATTGCGCCAAGAATTTGTGCACAAAGTTAAAATCTATAGAGAGCAGAAAAGAAATCTGATTTACCTGGATGAAACGTGGTATGATACCCATGATGTTGTGCAGTACGGCTGGGTTGACGACAGCAACAAGTGCATTTTAAATGCACTATGCAACCGTGGAAAACGTATCATTATTCTCCATGCTGGCAGTGAAAATGGATTTATACCTAATGCCTTGCTGTTATCTGCCAAAAATATCAAAGAATCATGTGCCGACTATCATGAGGACATGACCTCCGACTTATTTGAAAAGTGGATAGAGCAGCAGTTAATACCAAACATTTCCCCAAATTCAGTGATTATTATGGACAATGCGCCATACCATTCCCGACAGAAAAACAAAATTCCGAATACAAGCACAAAAAAACAAGACATTATTGATTTTATGAAGGATAGGGGAATGGAAATACCACAAAAATCAACCAAAGCCATATTATTGGATCTTATTAAAAGACAAAAATTTGAAAAAGAGTATGTTGTTGACAATCTGCTTCAGCAAAATGGCCATGAAGTATTACGTCTACCTCACTATTACTGCATTTTTAACCCGATTGAGTTGGTCTGGGCTGCTTTAAAAAAAAAAGTAAGAAAACATAATCAGACCCCTCAATTAAGTGAATCGCTATTGGCCACAATAAGAGATGCAGTATCTCATATTGCTGCCACAGACCTATGGAAGCAGTGTTCTAGGCATATTATTGAAAAAGAAAATGAATATTGTGTTTTGCCTCCTGTAAATCCCGTTGTAATTCCTCTACAAGATGACTCTAGCGACAGCTCCGAAGGCGAGGATGATATATAAATACCTATAAGGTTTTTTTTTTTTTTAGTGAGGGGGGAATGCATTTACGCACCATAACATAGCCCGAGCTACGGCGTGTGTGGGACTCCAGGGTCTTGAGGAGATCACCTAATACCCACTAAACCCTAAACCTCCGCGTGGCCCGACTCATCAGCGTCTCGGTAGGCCATGTGTTGTGCGTGACCTGCGGTCTGCTACAACGTCTCCTCATGTGTTTCAGTCTCTGGGAACGCCGGGTTGGTTCCCTTTACCTCGCACATTCATCGATGTCGTTAAGCGATCATCGATAGAGGGTCTGCTAGGTTCTCTTGAAACTCTTGTTTTCGAAAAATCAAGAGTTTCAAGTCCTCTTACCAATATGTTGTTCCTGGTCCTGGTCCTGAAGGGTCCTGGTCCTGGTGGGTCCTGGTCGTGGCGGGTCCTGGTCCTGGTTGGTCCTGGTCCCGGTGGATCCTGGTCCCGGTGGATCCTGGTCCCGGTGGTTCCTGGTCCTCTGCATCCACGCCGTGGGGGGGGAGCAACCGCGAGTTCTCCTAGTCAAGGTTCCAGTTAGCGGGTGCCAACTGGGACCTTGGTCTGGGGTACCTGGTTCTGCGGTTGCGAGGCCTCTCGTCCGGATCCCAGTAATGGGTAGAGTTGAGCCATGGCTGCTCTGGTCTTTGCAACCTATAATGTAAGTCTTTATATACCTTTTTATATACCTACCTGCTATGTAAATATTTGCCTATGTCAAACGTTGGAATTCTGTAATTTTTCCGTTTCTTAACTTTCAGTCAACATAAATTATACTCCCAATATAAGTATTTTTTATCCCAAATCAAAAAAATAAGACGATAGTAAGATCCATTTATTGTGATATAAAAACATTATTATTATCGTTCTAAATAAATGCCGCACCCCTATGATACGTCATGAAATTACACAGGACGCGCCGACCAAAGGTTTTTATGCTATTTCAAGTGACTTCAGATACACCATACTTAGCAGAATTTTCCCATGGCACGTGGACTCCATTCACTGAAACCTCAGGCGGGGCGCTGCTACATTTTTTAGTACAATAGATAACCTGCGTTTTCGAATAATTAATTTTGTTCAGCCACCGATCTGCCATTCCAATACCCCATCCACCGAACTTTGTAATCAGATTCCCGGAACGCGACTACCAATGCAGTGTCATCAGCGTACAGATAAACTTGACATTCGCTAGGATAAAGGACGTCATTCGTGAAAAGTGACAACAGAATTGGTGCGAGAACCGAGCCCTGAGAGACCGGCTCTGATGGGTCGTACTGTCGACAAGGCATTATTAATTTTGAGAAGGATTTCAAAAGTTTTGGGTACCAAAATGGAAAGCCCATTTGAACTAGTTTATAAGAAATGCCCTTGTGCCACACCTTGTCAAATACCATCGAGACATCAAGAAACAAGATGCCAGTACCTTTGTTAAGGGTGAAGCCGCTGGTTACAAGCTCGACAAGCCCAATCGGGTGTAACTCCGTAATATGTTCAGACCGAAATCCAAATTGCACGTCGGGAATCACATGGTGAGCTGACCAGAAATTCTCAAGGTGACGTAGAATCACCTTTTCAGAGAACTTCGACGGAGCAGACAGCTGGATAATGTGACGATAATACTGGGGAAATATCAAACCCACCTTTTTTGGAATAACTATAATTTAACCGACTTGAGAAGTGCCACTCGAACTTCGATGAAATTTTTACACAATGTTACTACTATGCCAAGGACGAAAAAAAGTTTTTGAAAATCGGTCCAGTGGAGGCAGATAAAAAGCCCTATAACGAAAAAAGTAAAAATTGCCCAAACTTCGTTTCTGACGTTTCAGATGATCCTGATAATTTCTGAAAAAAACTTTGGGGTGGGGAGGGTTTATCTCAATTTTTTGATGCTGGTACACTTATACACTTCCAACTAGGGATCAAACGATATAGGATTTTCACCAATACCGATATATCGGTCGATACCGATATATTGCAGGCCGATATATCGGCCATCTCGGCCTATCGGTCGTTCGTCTGTTTCCATGCGCCGTCGGGTGTGTTTTACTCCACAAAAATGTCAAACATAAGGAAAAGTAGCGTTCTTTGGAAATATTTTGAGAGTTTCCGAACGGAGGCCTAAAGAATAATAAATCTATACCCCACAAGAGATGTTCTGGCATACATACAAACATTTTGCAGGTGGAGAGACATCTGGAAATTCCAGACGAAAACAGGAACACCATTCAGTAAATACGCTAAACCAGGAAATTAATGCGTATACCAATCTACCTGTGATTGCAAGATTTAACAATCCTGCCCAGTGGTGGAATGATACTAAATTACGATTGACCAAACTTTTCCCAGTAGCTGCCATATATTTGTCGGCACTAGCGAGTGAACAATTTTTTTCTGAGGCAGGCAACATTTATGATGCCAGACGATGCAGTTTAACACCTGACAGGGTCAAAGCTTCATTATTCCTACGCCACAATCTGCCAAAGTTAAATTTTAAGTATACAGTATTTTAATCTAGATAGCTGTTGAAGCTCTTGTTCTCTACAGTACTTTTTATCTTTAGTGCTGCATTTACTCATTTTTCTCCTTTAGCCAAAAATTGTGAATGTTACGTTTCGTTTTTTATAGATTGGCATGTAAGAGATAAATGTTACTTTAATTTATTTACATAAAGTGATTGCTTTTATAAGTATCGTGTATTTAATTCAAAGGCCGATATTAGCGATTTGCCGATATTAGGTATCGGTATCAGTCAATCCCTACTCCCAACACTGGTAATTCTACGCATCTATTGGACATATTTCACTCACCATAGATTTCTTTGTACATTAGCCATCGGCCACGGCCGCTGTAGGCGTTGTGCGCTGATCGTGCTGAGTGATCTGATATGGAATCACACGTATTTCTGCCATGCAACAGTTTAGTGTTTTCTATGCTCTGACCGCGCTACCATGGTGCCACGTCTGCCCGAGTGAGGTATCGAGGAGAGGCGACATTTTCAGGTGCACTACTGGTTGGGCAGGGAAAGAATATCTATGGACTAATTGTCTGGACCTGTTTGGGACTGACTTATTCTCAGAGGGTCTAGTTTGTGTTAAAAATATTCATGTATGAACTGATAAGGGCGTTGCGTGGGAAGTCAACCTGCGTCATTTTTTACATAACACCCCTGCTGGCATCTCAGGTTTATTTACAACAACCACATAGGCGTTTCATCAATCAGAGTACTAACTACTTACCATGCTACCAGCTTTCATTGTGTGTAGTATAGTAGCATCCCTATAGTATAAGCACCATATTACTTGGACACGATACACTTTTCCGTTCAAAAGATCTTTCTTTTCTTTGTTACAGTCTTGTTCTGAAGATTTTAATGTACACATAATCACCGGCCCAAACGGCTCCGGCAAGAGCATATTCATCAGGCAAGTGATGCTGCTTCAAGTGATGGCCCAAGTGGGATGTTACGTTCCAGCTCAGTCCGCCATGTTCAAACCTGCTGACCTTATGTTCGCCAGGATCTATCTGGATGACAACATGGAATATGGAGCTTCCTCTTTTGTACTGGAGGTAAGCAATGTCTATTCAGAACTTGTACAGTCGACCATGCAGTGATTTATCTTGTCTCACGACTGTTTGCTGCTGCACAAGCTTATGTAGCACTAGTCGTGTAAGATCGGTTTAAAGAACTTGATTGCTCTAAGTTAACAGGAAAAAGCCCATGCTTTAAATGAAATGATTAAATTACGAAATGATTCGTAAGACCTTTCAATACCACAAAAAACTAAATGATAAATCGAACTAAAAAATGAAAAATAAATAATAGTTTAAAAAAAACTAAAAACACGCGTTTATAACTAACCGAACTAAAAAGTAGAAAATAATTTTTAATTAAAAAGAGTTAAAATTTTAGTAGTAGATGGTCGAACAATCAATCATAATTAATGACCTCAAAATAAAATTATAATGAAATTTAAGCTATTAACAGGATAACTCAATTCAGAGTAAAAAGCGTGGGGTGCATTTTACTACACTTTCATAACTCTCCTCTCATAGATAGGTGCCAATATAATGATTATATCAAGCACCCCACGCTTTTTACCCTAAATTGAATTATTCTGTTAATAACTTGAATTTTATTATAATTTTATTTCGAGGTCATTAATCATGGTTGATTGTTTCATCTACTGTACTGTAATTAAAAATTATTTTCTGATTTTTAGTTCGTTTAGCTATAGAAGCGCCTGTTTTAGTTTTTTTAACCTATTATTTATTTTTAAATTGCTTTTTTGCAATAAACTACTCTTAAGGAGTGATTCTTTCATTCTGTGATTACTTTGTTGCAAAAACAAAATATTAACAAACTAATTAAACTAAATATTTAAAATGGCAATAAAGTAGAAAGTCCCAATAAAAAATGTATATAGTATAGGATCTAGCGTTAAATAGACGTTGGATTCAGAATCCGGGTGTTTCAAAATCGACTATCATCATTGGGCCCTCGACAACGAAAAGAGATTTGAAGTCGGTTAACTGGTAGCAAAATTGCGCATTTAAGTAAATAAGAACCCGGCACCATATTTAGTAAAAGGGTATCTGATATATATATAAAAAATGGCATTTAGAAAGTTTCGCAATTCCGAGTGTTTCCGGGAGTGAGACAAGAGAACCCGAGTTTTCCCAAGAGCGTTTTTATTTTTTCCTTACTTATTTGAAACGGGATTTTAAAATAAAAAGTACATCTTAAATATTGTTTAAACTTTTGGTCGGCAAATTCTGACATAGGCTCATCTTCTTCCTCGAACTCAAATATTATTTTCTTTATATGTCCGACTTCTTTGAACTTTGGCTCTACACCCATAGTTTCACTAAGTTATCTTGCTACCAATGTGGCCGCCACAAAACCTTCAAGTCTAGATTTCTGAAAGAAAAACTGAACTATACTTGAACCCATTTCAAGTGAGACTAGACACAACAACCAGCACGCGTCGCTGGCATGATGGTCGTAGACACAAGAACCGAACAGGTCGGACTCAAAACTATGGAAATATTAAGGTGATATTTCAGAACTAAATATTTGAAAAAGAGACATCAGTAAATAATAACACAACACTACTGTCACAGAGTCAATAGAGGTGATTGAAAGTTAAGGGGGGCACAAAAAGTAATTATACATATGTGTTTGACAACATCAATATTTTTCACTTTCACTAGAAGAGCTGTCATCATAGATGTTGATAATTAGCGGTTCAATATGCCATTCAATTATGTTGTCTAGCTCCCACATTGCAACCTCCACATTCTCCTGAACATGCTTCACACATTTTAACCATTTTTCTGGTGTGATTCTCTGCAACGCAAGGTTGAACAGCTCTTTCATGTCGGAAAACTTGAATGTTGTGTTGTGTTCAGCAACAAAATTCTTTATATCTGCCCATATGAGCTCAATGGGGTTGAGCTCACAGTGGTAAGGAGGCAAACGAAGTACCATTTTATTGTGCGCTTTGGCCATCTCGTCCACTATATATTTATCATATTTTGCTCTGTGTTATTTCACAAGATCTAGAAGTTGTAATTTCAACATAAACGTATCAAAAGGTATATTTTTTGCACGTAGCCAGTCCTATATCTCTGATTTCTTAAAAGATGAATTTGGAATTTTTTCTAATTTCCGAGAATGATACGGAGCATTATCCAGGACCACCACAGAATTGTCTTTAAGACGTGGTAAAATGCCTAAAAACCAGTTTTCGAATGCTTCACCATTCATCTCTTCGTGGTAGTCAGTGTTTTTTTTTTATTCAAAACACCATAGTCCTTCCTTCACGAAGCCATCTACACTCCCGATGGGGCAAATAATGAGCCTTTTTCCTTTGCCTATAAAGATAAAACTTGTTAAATATGGATGTACATTATATGTCTTTCACAAGAGTACTGAGGCCACGGAGATAGGGACACATTTCTGTATTTTATATACGATGCTATATTGTTTCTCATGATAGCGGGATGCATGCGGTGAGATATATCGGACACTTCAACCAATGCATCATTTAATCTGTTGATGAATCTGGTTAGCTTAAAAAACAAAAAGAAACAGGCAACATCAATCAAACTAAAAAATTATCAAGTGTGACAAACTTATCGAAAAATTTACAAATCAACGCAATGTCTGACGTTGTTAATTAACGTGTTACATTCCGTGACGGACGAGGTATGTTGTCTCTGCAACGCTCGCATTGCTGTAAAAAATCTTGTCATCGATACCATAAGAATTACAACGTAGAATACATTGATTTCCAGAGTGAATATCCCCTCGTTTTTTCTAGATATCTGATAACGTGTAATGCCTCATTTAAATCACTTTGGCTATGAAAAATTATCTAATAACTATTGTTGGATTTTCTAAAATGGAATGTCTGCATTACCTGTAGGGTTTTTAAGCCCAGTTGAAAGCCCATCTAAAAATCTTCTTGCTGACGTTACTGTTTGGTCCACCCAAACTTTTGATTTTGTATGGCCAGCATTTATCCACGTCTCGTCCAGGAATTAAATTCTACGGTTTTGGCTCCTGTATGTTTTTATTTTTGTCAAATACTCTCTCCTCCATAGTATAATTTCATCTCTATCCATCAATGAACTGTTTCGGCCTCTCTTCTGCCAATTGAAGTTGAGTTCCTTTAATAGCCTGTAGAACGTCGTTTTACTAAAATTCTGGAAAAAGAATTCCTGAACCTTCCTTCTGACCGCATGTCTGTCAGCATCATCTATTTCTTTAATTTGGCTTTTAAGGTTCTGATTCGTTTTAGGTTCAGCAAATGCATTCCGTAATTTATATTCTTTGAGTACTCTAAATACCGATGCAAGAGAAACTCCAACTTTATTCGCCACCCTCTGCACAACATCGTTGACGCTGAGCTCAGGTTTTTCCTCCGTTTCACATTTAAAATAATTTCTTTCACTTCGATGCTCAAATGGTTTTGTCTTGATCGTTTCCTGGGTGGACTCAATGTAGTTCTCCCTTCATCAGCTGTGTCGGTAGAAGACATGGTCAAAAAACACCAGATATAACAGAACTTATAACAGCGATGCACTCGACGCCACGCCACGGCCTGATTACAACTCTGGTTTTTGTAGACATCAACGCGGCGCAACGGCGGATTTTGTATTGCTACAGTCTAACTAGGTCTTAAAAAATGTTCGAAACTGCATGTTTTCCAAATTCATGGAGTTTTATATTGGAGCCACTTCAGGACATTGTATTTAACAAACGCATCAATATGAGGGGCAGAAAGGTTAAAAAAAGAATAATAAAAGCTACGAAATGAAACTATTAGTTGAAAAAGCAAGCGCTTCAAACTACAACTTCAAACCGTAAAATGCCTGAACTATAATGAGACCCTCTGCGGGAACATCGATTACGCGCTGATCACGCTTCGAGTTTGCGATGTTGTGGTCTCACTTGGGCTGAATTTTAGATAGCCCTTCAAGTAACTGCGACACAACTCCAAAGCAGCGCGGCGGCAAGCATGAGTCACTCACTGGCATGCGCGGGATTTGCCTGGACCCCGCCGCCACTATCAAACGATATTTTGCATCATTTTGGTCACCATTATCACGTTCGTGGGTTTTGTAATTAATCAATAATTTAACATATTGCGGGAGCAATCAGACAGATATTTTAGGCTCGTATATTTGTACATTATATTATTTTTTTTAACCAAAACTTTTTACATATTTGTTAGCGCGAGTAACGCCTCGCGGCGCGAGGCCAGGAGCGACCGCTCCACTCGCTCCACTCTAAAGACGGCCCTGATATTGTACATACGGTGAGGTTCAAATTTTGCTGACATCGTAATGTGTACGAGGTAGAAGCGAGACAAGCGTGCAATTTATGTTAGAAAAAGTGTCCCGATAGCATCCGTGACCTCGTACTCGGGTTGCTAGGCAGCGAGGTGCTTGTCTATCTCTTTCTAATACACGTATTGCACGCTTCTCGCGCTTCTCTCTCGTACATATTACGACATCAGTGGTATTTAGCTTTCAGTGTATATCATGACATGGATTGACATTATAAAACCTCAAATGTCTCAAAAATAATCCCCCTTAACTCATCAAATAAAGAATGTTAAAAGTTTTTCATTTAAGGGTCGTATCAACTTTGAAAACAATATTATTTTATGTAAGTGACGGAAAAATTTTGGAGTAAATGAAAGCATCGACGTTGTAGCAGCTCCCTAAGTACGTTTTATATATGCCATATCTAAACGGATGTACACATCTTGAATTCAAATACTATTCATCTACAGCTTGGGCCAAGCATAATCCTTTATGAACTGGTGGCGCTGCGCGGAGAGTGCAGAGTCAACCAACTTGACTCCATTTTTCATATTGAAATTCCATTTTGACAAAATTCCGTTTATTTCGTATATCTCAGAAAATACTCGGAATTGCGAAACTTTCCGAGTTCCACTTTCTTAGTTACCTTAATGCGCAGCGTTGCTCCCATTTAACTGACTTACCGTTTCCGAAGTCCCACTGGCAACTACTGGCAAACCGGGAAAACCTAGGATATGGCCACCGAAGAATATCCTAACCACCATAACCGTGTTGGTCCTGATAGATTATTTTAAGCATGATAAATGGCAACTGAATATTCAACGATGTTTTGCGAATTGACGTTCCATCTGTTCCATCCGTAAGAATTTAAAATTTGCAAATAAAAATATACTTCCTTTTAAGTCTTGTCTTTTTCTCTATTTACTCAACTTACGTTCGAAGCAAAACTCGTGGACACATGAGTGTCTACGGGATGAGCATCTGGTCTACCATTCCTGTTCTTCCCTATTTAATCATATGGACCACAACCAATTTCTACTAGATAGCAATGTTTAAATGAAGGAGATGGATTCATGAAAGTAATACTTACAGCTTGCCAAAAACCGTTAAATATCTTCGTTATTAGAGTCGTAGAAAAAAGTTGAATAGAAAAGTTGTAGGCAGAGCAAGGGCTACAACCTAAAATTATTTTTTTTTCAATAATTTTAACAATAAATATTTCTGTTGATTTTTAGAAGCACCTTTTCTTGGCCATTCTGCCAACGTAGGTTTCGGGGGCTTGTACCGGATATTTTGGAATATATATAAAAACTCGTTAAAATCAGTATACATTTGACTTCCTGTATCTTAAACAACACTTAACGGGGTTCCTACAATCTCGAGTACCATCTGCTGAGGTAACGGAGGGGTGAAAAGGAAACGAGGGTGGGCAGGTCTTAGATGGTTGTCGGCGCTACTTTAAAAGAGGAGAGGATGACTGCGGGTGCCTACCGAGGTAAATTTATATAATAACAGAGTCGGATTTCGATTAGCGATCTAGAATGTTAATCGTTTCCTATTTTGGTACTCGGCAAGTGATCATTTAGTATTGTTCTACCCTGGTTACTGTTCGTCGATATTGTGTTGTTGAATTGTTTTGCAGTACTCTTGTCGGTGTGATTGTTCTTGAGTGCCCTTTTTTATCAAGGTTGATAATGGACAATAAAAGGTCATATGCGACAATTTTAATTACGAATGCAGTGAGTTTAATTCATGATGAGGACAACAATAATGTGGAGCAGTTCAACTCTATAATCTCAAAATACATTGGGGTAAGCGAATAAATTATTGCAAGAAGAGGTCATACCATGGAAAATGTGCTGCAGCTGTAGTGAGCCACAATACCGAGCGGCCTGTCTATGTGGTCCAAATACATTTGCGTGCTAAGCTTAGTCCAACCTCGCTTATCTCTAAGATGGAACAAAGACTCAAACGCAACAATCTTGAAAAGAAACTCAGACCAAAAAAAGCTGATATAAAAATAACTAACAATTCGGATAGCAATTCCGAAGGAAATGAATAGTTTTATGGCGAATTCAGTCAAAAACCTGACATTAACTACATTGATTTGGAGGTTGCTAAGCGAAAATTTTTAGGGAAACTTAAAAAAAGTGCCGACGAGATTTTGCAGATCGAACAAGTCACCAAATCGCAGGACTGTACTTTGTGGCGTCTTCAACCGAGGATAAGGTTGACAGCGCCTAGATGTGGTGAAGTTTGTATAAGAAGGCAAACAACAAGCTGTAAAGTTCTAGTAAACTCCATCATATACCCAACAGTTTTCTAGTAAGCCAGTAAAAAAAGGTAATACAAAAATCATTGGACACGGCAGTTCAATCTTGTGGTTTGTTTATTGATCGCACACATCTCTATTTCTGGCAGCATCACCTCTATCTACCTATTACAGTGGACAAGACATGTACTTAATCCAGGTATAAGCCTACCTATTTATTGCTTTGCAAAAACTGTTTCCTCTTGTTTTGACTGCATAAGATATTTTATGACCCTCGTTCAATTGTTAGATACCATCTACCACATGACAATTGTAAACATAATTTTGTTTATTGACATGAATAAACGAATTTGAATTTGATTTCTTGAATTTATTTTAGGAAAGATATGACATTATGTGAATACATTTTTTCTTAGTCGGAACGCGCCGTCACGACGCGTGGACTTGCAGGTTGAAACAGTAGATGAATTTCGCTCAAAAACCGATTTGCACTTCACAGCTTACGTTTGATTTTTATTATTTCCAAATGAAATTCTTGCAGCGTGCCAAAGACAAAGTCCACAGGGTGCCAGCGATTCACTTTTTCGATTTTATCCACTGGGATCTTTTTAAAATATCAAGAAGTTGAGCACAAATAAGATAATAAAAAACATATTTCCTTGACATATCGATAATTTTAAAGTTCCACGCTAAATTCCCCTATACTTGACTGGAGTGATATCCGACTTTATTATTCCCTACTGTCGGTAGTTGCAGATCTGTTGGCTCTTGGTGTCAAACCTATAGAGCATATACCGATTTTTTTCCAATCGTGAGCACATTATTCGTCGGATTTTCATTACTTAAATTTCCTGTAATCACTGGGATCAAAAGCTTCTTAATAATAGAACGTGTTTCACCGATTTCAACCCCCCCCTTTTCAAGCAGTACAATTTTTTTATGTCAATGATTAGGAACCTCTGAAACTTCAAAAATGGAGTTTCAGCAATTGTTACTTTTTCTTTTTTGCCTATAGCACCGTTGCCAGTGGAGTAGAACTAGAAAGCTTTGGCAGTGTGGAAATTTCATAAAAATCCGAGCGGTAATTTCCAAGCTGATGATAAGTGATACAGTTTTTCGTGATGCAGATGCCATATGGCTTAAAAAAACATAAAATCTCATTTTAGAAATTTTTCGCGATTACAATACTTCCTCGCCAATGGCGTGGGAAGTAAAACGGCTTTAAAATCGAGGAGTATCAGCGATCGCGATTGTGAGTACCTGTTTGCAGAATGAGTTATCTACGAGATATTATATGAAATAGGGCCACCAAATTATCTGAATACTTCCTTTCTTAGTCCGTACATTGCGCCGCAACGCTTGTGTTGGCAGCACGAAACAGTAGACAAAATTCGTCCAAAATACGATTTGTAGAGGTTTGCGCGCTTCGGAATTGACGCTTTATTTTCTGACATTTTTGGATGAAAATTTCAGAGTGTGCTGAAAACAAAACCCCACAGGGTGCTATAGAGCCACTTTTTCATTTTTTTCAGTAGGTTCTTTTTAAGAAAATCACGAAGTTGAACAGAAAAAGTGCGCACTTCAACCCATCATAAAACTTGTGCAAAAAAAAAATTCAAAAAGTGCTCCTATAGCACCCTGGGCAATTATCTTCTCAACATACTGCATGAATTTCATTGAAAAATATTGAAAAATGGAGTGTCAGTTTTGAAGCAGCTGAACCCTTGTAAATGGCTTGAAACTCACTGCGTCGGAGCCGCCTTAAGATAAAATCTGTTTTATTATACTGAGTGATGGAAACAGTGGTAGATATTCATATCCAAGGTTTTTTTTGTACAAGTTTCATTCGAGACATATAGGGTGAATCAAAACAGAAAAATGTAATTTTCTCGAAAAATTTAAATCAAACACACTGTATGTTACAACTCTATTCAACGCGTCTCGTTCAGATTTATTAAGCATTGCCTATACAAAAATCTAGTATTTTCTGAGATATTATGTGTTTTAGAAGTGAAAACCATAATTTTGGAGTTATTAGGAAAATATCCGTCAGTCATGCTATTAATAAAACAAAAAATTTCTATTAATTAAAATATGTCGCTGAGTCGTTAACAAAATGTAATCAAACACTTAAATACAACGGCTTCCAAAAAAACACTATACTTATCTCTGCTAAAGAACCTTAATAATTAAAAATGACAACAGTTCTGTAGACTTCTTCTTTAACGTGAAACCAGAGAAAATAGTCCATTTTCGTTATCAGGAGACCTGGGTGGCCATCTGACTGGCCCTGCTGGTCCTATCCACCTCTGAGAGAATTCAGTATTTAAATAGTTATTTACTATTTATTATTTATTTGTGTGTGATATGCAGGAGCTCCATCATGAAGAATCCACATTCTTTTCCTTCCACGTTCTGGTATATGTCTTAATAGATGCGGTAAAATGTTTTCCAAAAAGTCCAGATAAACTTGTCCGAACACTTACATGGGGATTTTCAGTTACGTGGAGCATAACTTGAAACACATGCTCTTCCTGTAAAACTGGTTTTACCCTTTCTCTCTCCTCATATGCCACACTTCTGTTTGTCTGACTTATTGCCAATAAATGTAATTTTTGTCATGTCAGCGCATAAATCATATAAACAATTTCTTGTGTTGGAAAATCCATTTTATCTCTAAGCGGAACTCATACATGCAAAACTACACACTACAGAACTCTTTGAATTAGCCGAGGATATATTTTATATCCCTATGATTGAGTAATACCAGGTTTATCATGTGGTCAAGTATTTAGCTTTGCGGATGAACGACAGTTCTGTATGACGATAATACTTGGTAAAATCTAAAAATTAAAACAGAGTGGGATCTAGGAACTATTTTTGATTATTTTGCTAATACATTTTTAACCGTGAACTACGCGAAAACATTCTTTATGCCTTTTTCTAATCTTAATCTAACTCTGGTTAGAAGTATATAACACTGAGGATGTGGATATAGCAAAAATAAAAAATGTGTTCGACAAATCCAGTAGTGTTATGAATTACAAAATAAACTTCAAGAAAATAGACACCAGTGTATTTCTACAGGCCTAATGAAATTGATTCAAACAAAACAAGAACTTTACAAAGAATTATTGAACAGTCCTGGTAATGAAGAACCCAAACACAAGTATCTCATGCCCACACATCCGGATACGGGTGTAACCTGAGGAAACGAAGTTGGAGGGGGAAGTCCACAACAAGAGCCAACCTACCCATTGTAGTATAAAATGGTTACAACCATATCCGGATGTGTGGGAATGTGTATCTACTTTTGTAGTTTCATATGTGCATTCATTTCGGGCCTGATGAAGCCAACCAGCAGAAATACGTATCGCTCGGGTTACCTATCCTATTTTCTGCTCGAATCCACTTTCCTCCTTTTTGCGGATTTTGCCCATTATTTTCGTATTTTTTAATATATATATATATTTGCTTATTCATTGTCTGGTGTAGAGGTTGCTTTGGTGGGACAAGGGAATTTAAAAAGTATCCTGCGCACCAATCTTCTTTGGAGATTCCATCCGGGATATCTTATTTATTTTTCAACAGTCTCCAGTATAGGGCTGATTATGTATAAGAAAATGGAATAACGGAAAATATATGACTTTGACATATTTAGAAAGACCTTACTTCTAAATTTTGACGGTTAGTTATAATGAATTTTGTCTAGGAAATGAAAGTATGGCAATGAGTATCTCGACAATAGACAGAGTGGAGACTTTTTTGTAAGAAGATATCTTATAGTTTTAGGTTGCTGCCTAGTTTACCTAATTGGATTGTTCGAGTCAATTAGTTGTACAGAGTTCTCAAAGGAACATAACTCATTGTTCCATCAAGCATTCAGCAGATAGCACACCCTGTGCATTTTCACATTTTCAATCCCCATTATTTTTCACCATAATAAATAATGAAAGTAACATCTTGTTCCAATACGTTTTTATTTACATTATACAAATATTCCTAACCAGGTTGATACAACCGATAAGGGTTATTTTTGGACATTATTTTTAATAGACTTAACTGTTCCTCCTGATTTCTTTGACTTCATCTTCTGTGAATGAATCTAATCATGAATCTCTCTCAAAAATTTGAAAGCCGAAGAGAAAGCATAATACCGTAGCAATAATTTGTATAAACTATATTTAATAAATAGCAACAGTTTGATCAAATGATTCCCTTTTGGCGAGTATGAGAGTACAATGAGTATATTTAACTGCTGGCACATTACTTCTACACAAACGCAGGAATATATTCAAAAATTCGCCGTAATATATATTTACCTATGGTATATTGCACAAGTATATTACACACAGATTGCTACAGCCCCTAAGCGATTACCCGCATCAGAAGGCATTCAAATAAATAAATAGTAAAAGCAACAGGTTGTTCCAATGTTTCCATTTTGGAGAGTTCATAATTATGCTGCCTTCTTTTTTGCATCCTGCATTCAACTCAAAATGAAACAAAAATAATTTTACTAAATAACAAATTGTTTATTAATTACATCATACAAAGGCTGTTACAACTAATAATGATTATTTCTGAGAGCCTTAGTTTTGCCGCCTGATTTATTTTGCTTCGTCTTCACTAAAAATCGTAAATCTCCTGGTACTTGAGATACTCGTCCGGCTTTTGAATAACAATATTCTGGTTATTCAGAATAAAAGTCCATGGCAGAGGAAAAGGCCGTTGCACAGTTACTTGGCACTTCATTTTCAACGACTCTTTCCTCTTCTTGAGCAAGGCACTGTTCAAACGCTTGTTCAAAGCAGGATCTCCCTTAGCGTGCGCCAGCCAAGAGCCGTTAGTCTGAACAGCACGCAATAAATCGCCGTCATCTAGATACCTCAAAAGAAACAAAAAACGTTAGTTACATAAATCAAATATTAAACAATAATTTCAAGTTGATATATGAAAAAAAAAACTTACCTCAATATGAGACACCAGATCTCCGTAGGCATATCAGGTAGGTAGGTAGCCGCTAACAAAGGAGGTATACTAAATAAACATCTTGAATACCAATGACAAACCTGCCGGAGAATGGTCACTTCATATGTACCTGCCGTCGACCACTCATGCGTAACGATGACGTGTACCGTACACGTGTAGCAATGGATGTTTTCAATGACGTTATGGACACGAATTTTTGTTTGCTTTGAACTAGGTTTTCAAATAGATTGCAGTTTGAGGCGGAAGTTTTTCACATAGCGGAAATCTTATTGACTATTTTAGGTCATCGTACCTATATAGATTTACTGGTATTTTACTCTATACACCTTAGGAAAAACCATTGTTATACATGGGAAATCATTTCTTGGCAACAGAGCATCGGCTCGTCTACTTTCATCGCTATTCGTACATATTTCCTACCGTTAACCGCAGACCTGTATCACGAATGAGAATAATAGGCAGATACGCTGTGTTGCCAATTTGAGTAGAGCTTCCCGAATTGTGGGGAATTTAGAGTTAAGTGTTGATTCATTCAAGCTTTTAATCAGCATGGCCTAGACGTTAGAACTTCATAAAGATAACATTGAAGCTGAATGCTGCTGGAGTATAGTGTTTCGAATATTCAAAGCGGAGCGGGACACTATACTCGTTCAATGGGTCATCAAGAAACAGTCTTTTCAACAAAGAAATTATTTTACGAAAATGCGTTATATTTTTACGATTTTGTCGTCACCAAATCTCTGTTTCTCAAAATGTACGTCTATTGTAGAATGTTCAGCAAACTAAGCAAGAAACGTGATCTAGTATTTACTCAACATTACGGATTTCTCAAAATAAATTAAAAAATGTGACCTAGATACCTAACTGCCCCAAGCTCTTTAAATATAACACCTTAAACCAGGATTACCAGGTGCTCAGCCACGTTGATTGTCATGTTGCACTGCGCAAGTCAGCAAACAATCTGGCGTAATAAACGTTAGGAATCATCAGGTATTGCCAGATTCCCGAATACGGGGCACCATAGTAACCGTTATAGTTGTCCTTCAAAGTTGTCAAATCGCCCCTATGGCGCAAATTCGCCACACCAGGCAACTGTGCTATAAACAAACCCTGTTTATCACTACTATTTGATAGTCATATGGTAGTTGTAGCCCTATCTAGCGGTCCATGATTTCTCTCAATACTGTTGTATCTCTACTGGCAACAAGAATAGGGATTACAAAATCATTTATACAACAATATACAAACATGAAAAATATGATTTGAACCATGAAACATTAATACACTTTTAATAGTTTGAACTTTTTTCATTTTTGGAATACTCTTATGTGGAATCCGCAGCTATTTTTCCCGAAATTTGGGTAGACTTAGATTTCTTAGAAATATGACATATTGGTATCGGCAACTCTGCGAATGGGAGAAACAAATCGCATTTGTTGAGCGCATCCGTCTAAGCGGTAGGCGCCAGCGCCCGTTCTGCCATCTCTCTCTTTTATCACTCTTTTACTTTACCCCGTTGTCCGTCACACAACGACGCTGCCACATAGCATCCTACAATCGAGTGTCTTTCACGCACCTACATACTTTTGTATATTTCCATCTCTCTTCCTCATCATAATGTATAATAATGTTTTTTCCCAAGGATATGTATGGACGAAGATCAGCAGCTTTCAACGGTTTTCCATTTTTTGTTGGACTTTTTTACAGTATCCCAAAACTACCATTTGAGTAAAAAAACTATGAAAGAATTGTGTCGCACCTTATACTTCCTACTATTTTTTCAGAACTTAAGCTAATATAATCATAAAAGGTGTAGAAACGATGCAGATAATAATAATAACAGCTATTTCAAAAAATAAAATTTCATTATCACCTTTCCTTGGAAGAAAACTGTGTCCAAAAGTATCTAGTACGTTCAGAGTACAAATTGCTAGAAAAACTTGCCCGTGCAGTCAGCTTCCCAAAGAAGTATTAAACATCAGTATGGAAAGTGTTTAATTCCTGACAAACACCCAATTAAATCAATTTAGGTCAAATAGCAGTCCAACTAAACAATATTTTTTTAAGTAATTCCAATGAGTGTATTAATTTTTCAAAATTTGCGCTTCATCGGAGCCTCTTAGTTGCGAATACAGATCTATATTTTTCTAGCTCTCCTGCCTATTTCGCGTGATTTAGACATGTAGCACTTTAGTAACCCCACAAGTTAGCTATTTTAGGTATTTTCCCTTGAAATGAAAATATCTTGCCAGTGTGGATGTGTGCCCCTGCAAATGTGACAACGATCTTGCGGATTCTTCTGTCCCTATAGGGCCCAGAGCTAACAGTGTCTAGATATAGCACAATTGAAAGCTATTGTCGGAGAAAAGGACGCGAAATCTGCTCAACAAGTTCAAAAAAGTACCGTATTGGCAGATCTAGTGTCGAGGAAAAACAAATTTATTTGGAAGATGAAGATCCAAGTTGCAATTTACCGCGTCAATCATGGAGCCATTCTGGTTCCAGAGAGTGTTGACGCAATGCCAATGTTGCGGTCAGTGGTGTCACGCGGAATGTACACGAACACCGAAAAGCTAAACGTGTTATTTGTGATGTCTGCAAGTAAACATACTTACGAATATGGTAAATAGCATGTTTTGTTTGCTCTACGCGCCATCTGAGCAGCTCATGCGAGCGTTATTAGTTGTGTGCCGTCTTACCTATAGGGGTTGGATGAAATGGGTTTGGGATTTAGTTTTATTTTTGATTATTTTTCGAAGAAATTATAGTTTTTGTTGTATTTATAGATTTGTTATAAACGGTTAAAATGCGTGCATTAACAAAATGATCGGGAATTTCAAAGCTCCGACGGGTCTGAAAGGGTCAGTTTACTATATTTTTAACTACTTTCTCTCTGCGAAAGTAAAAACATATACTAGACGTAAATAGCTTTGAAAAGAACCATAAATGTATTAGTTTATTTAGATTTAAAATGGTATTTGGACAAAATTTGGAATTCAAAAGAACAAATTGTATTTTACTGAATGATGTATATTATAACTGCTCTGACAAATCTTAGGCATCAAAACATTTGGAAAACTTGATATTGATAGTTGCTATTTTCGAATCCAAATAAAACCTCTTTCTAACCCTAACCAAATTCAATATTTATTAATTTCATTCATTGTGAACTTATTATATATGAAATCAAGTTTTACCTATTGTTTGTCTGATTGGTCAGAAACAAGTTATATTATATCACCATTCACCTATATGGCTGCATAAATAAAATTTTCAAGTTTTTTCCATTCCGTTACGTTAGCAGTGATGGGCGTGTTTCATTGGAAGCGAGAAATATTCTAACCATAGTTTGCGGGTCAGGCGCCTTATGCTCGAGTATTCCACTTGATCACCATAATTGATCCATTTCACAGGTACTACACCAACAACAGACAACACAGTATGAAGTTTCTCGCGAAAATCACAAATGAAATGAAGTTTCACGAATGAAAGGCCGAGTCCTCGGTTCAAATAAACAGTTTAACGGTTTTTATTAAAATATTTAATTGCATTGAATGTACCTTTTTCTGCATAAACTAAGTTACCTAAACTATTTAAACAGTTCAATAAAACAGGTACATGGTTTGCTATTTTTAAGAAAATTAATTTAATTGTATATTGCTTTCAATTAAACCGGATTCAGAAAATTCTTTCTAAATAAACCGAATAATTTAGTTACTTAGAATAATTTAAAGAATCATGACGGGTTATTGATATCTTCAAAAATACTATTTAATTGTTCACGTTTTTTCAGCGGGTAAAATTCCATGCTTTTGTGAACAATTAGATTTAGCCCCCCCCCACACTTCTGAGAAAATGCTATTACAGCACTTCAAAGAAATTTTGAGACTGATAAACTTTCAAAAAAAAATGCCTCTTGCTCCCCTAGGAAAACCCGGCACTAGTTTATGGACGCTTATAGAATCAACCTACATCTTTTGATTATAAACGAACAATACTGAAACAACAAGTTTCATCCAAGAATAGTTTCTAGTTCAAAGTAACTAAATTATTTGGATTAATTAAACTGAATTTTCTGGAAGCAGTTTAATTGGAAATAGCAAACCAGGTACCTACCTGTTTTATTAAACTGTTTAATTAACTTAGATAATTTAGTTTATGTGGGAATGGTACATTTAAAACAATGAAACATTTAAATAAAAACAGTTGAACTATTTATTTGAATCGCGGACTCGGTCCTTCATTCGTGAATGACTTTGAAATGTTATTTATGAAGCCGCATTTAGGTCAATGATTTATACCAAACATATGCTTAACATAGGCTTGATGTGCGTTTCGTTTATATTGTATGTATAGGATGTGAAGCCTATTGGTTCTGACTTTTTAGTATTTGAAGTTATCTTATTGTTTGAAGTGATTTGTTTATAATATGTAAATGAATGCGTTGAATGCGGGTGTGTGCAATATTGCTTTATTATTAGAAATAAAAGTACAAAGGATTGCTTCTAGAGAGTTGTAATAAAACCTTCACAATTTATCAGAATGAAAATATCAAATTTTGATAGGCTTACAAAATTCGGAATTTTTTTTTTGATTTGAAAACATGAATTATCAATATCGTTTTCCGAATTTTTTGATATCCAAGATTTGCCTGAGTAACATAGCTACCTCATGCAGTAAAATGCTATTTGTTATTTTAAATTCCGAATATTATCCAAATATCCTCAACTGATTAAACAAATTTAACAAATATAATTAAATTGTTTTACTTATAGAAGGTTAGCGCATTCTAATAATTCATTAATTTTAAATAAATTGGTGTACTCAATCTAAGTAAACGATTTAATAAATTTGAATAAACGATTGCATTTTGGTTTAATTAAACCAGTTTTATAGATTCAAATAAATTGTTTTATAAATCGGAGTTTAATTATACTAATTAAGCTTGTTAGCTGTCACATAGTTGATTACATTTTTTAATTGGTGTAATTGAACTTTTAATTGGTATAATTTTTTTCTCGGTTTAGTAATTAATTATTATTCTTCTCTCTCCTAGAATCGTATCTACAATACATCCATAGAAGGTAGATACCATATGCTTAACAATAGATTTATCTTGGCTGGGGTATGCTACGGCAGATGTTAATTCTGAGAACTACCTACCTGCTTTGACCATGAAACACAATCTTATACGGTTTTGGCAACTGGGTCTTCAACTTGTCGGCTTAGGAAATATTAATCCCCATAAAAAGTATAATTCTTCAAAATGAGCATACATATTCCATACCTTCATCTTCCCTCAGGTATTAGACACCATATGCTTAACAGATTTATCTTGGCTGGGGTATGCTACGGCAGATGTTAATTCTGAGAACTGCCTACCTGCTTTGACCATGAAACACAATCTTATACGGTTTTGGCAACTGGGTCTTCAACTTGTCGGCTTAGGAAATATTAAGCCCCATAAAAAGTATAATTCTTTAAAATGAGCATACATATACGATACCTTCATCTTCGCTCAGGTATTAGATACCGTATGCTTAACAATAGATTTATCTTGGCTGTGGTATGCTACGGCAGATGTTAATTCTGAGAACTACCTACCTGCTTTGACCATGAAACACAATCTTATACGGTTTTGACAACTGGGTCTTAAACGTGTTGGCTTAGGAAATATTAATCCTCATAAAAAGTATAATTCTTCAAAATGAGCATACATATTCGATACCTTCATCTTCGCTCAGGTATACTATTCTGAGAAGTAGTGTGTAGCTTCCTGCTTTAACCAGGAAATACAAGCGATCAGATAAGTCTTTGATATCATGGGAAAAAGAGGGAACTTAAGCCCAATGTCTACAAGCCTGAGAAAGGAAAAGGAATTCCAAAGCTAGGTTCGTCTTTTTTGTCACCAGAGTAATGTCTGACCTATCAGACGTCACTTCGTTGACGTCGATGGTTGCAGGCCTTTGACATCATAGAAACGTCATGTTAATCATCTTCATGACGCATGCGTAGTTCCAACCAATTCAATTGCTTTTTTTATCTTAAAAGTTCTAGCTTGGATATGTCCAGGCGACTCATTACAACATTTTGAAGTCTTTCCAAGAAAAAACTTAGACGGTGTTTAGTGATCTCGAATACGTAATATTGACGTCATCAATACAGCAAAATGACCTTGGTCGAACGTCATTACAATTCATCTAAATTGAGCTGTCAAAAAAAAATATACGATTTGGAGACATCACTTATTAATATGTTTCATAAACAGTGCTGGAACAAAACTAAGTCACTGATGGACTTGAAAATAAGGTTGCGTTATTTGATATGTTGACACGGATTTGGTGTGACTAAAAGCAACATAAAGGTAGACAGCAGTACGAGTAACAGAGTGAAATGTTCGGTGCCACGCGGTTCCCTCTATACTCGGGTACCAAAATGGAAGAGAGTAGCATAACACATCGTATCTCACTGCATATGTATGTATGTATCCGTATTCAAAGACTCGCCGTTTTAGCAGTGCTGTATGATGTTTTAAGCGTCTTCCGTTTTGGTATAGGTTATTACGGCAACCAATTGTGTGACGTCATGGAGAATAAAACGACATTTCAAAACTTTATATATTTATAAATTATTACATGCGAAATTAGCATACATTTCACGTTGAACGGTACATATTGCGAACAAAATATTTTTTCGTCTCTCCCCACTGAAACAACAAAATAAGGAACATGCAAGCACTACACATCCTACTTTCTCTTACTATTTGTCATGTATGTAAGACGTGTATAATGTTCTTTAATATAATTTACATCAACTAAACCTTTGGATTGTTGTATGTTGTAACAGTTAAGTATCTGTTGTTGCTGCGCGTTTACCGGCATCACGGGAACTCCTAGCGCTCCAAGGGCGTTAAGTAAAATATCTAAGGATATTTCGAAGAACCTAGAGGCTAACTCTTCCACTGTAGCCCCTAACGGGTTCATGGAAGAGGGTTGTAAGTTAATGCAATAATCCAAAGGCCGACTATTAACACAACTAGGGTAAACGCCGTATGCTGTCGCTGTTTGATAAGGCAAGATCGGAACATTTGGAGGATTTCTGTTAATGGTTATATTATTTGCTGGAGGTATATATACAGGAGCAGTTGTTTTTGGTCTGCTCGAGTTTGTAGTTGTTACTGGGTATGGATTTGGACGGATATTTCGACTACCCGTTTCTCTGTATGGATTTGCATAAGCATTGTGATATGCCATCTGCGCATTCACTGGTATCCGACTTGTTGCACTTGTTGGTTGTGCATTAGCATTTACATTATTAAAATACTGCTTAGGATAAACGTATTGGTAAACTGGTGCCGTAGACACTGGAATATTTCTCTGTTGATCAGGTTGAATATTCTGCCGATTCTGCACCGTTGAAGTTGGTGGCAGTGTATTTAAAACAGTAAATTGTTTTTTAACGAGTTGGTCTGTATTATTATCGTATAGCCAAAATTCCTCAAACGATGTCCCAGGAGCGAAAAATTGTTTTACCAGTTCCAGCTCGACTACTTGTAAGCAAGGCTTATCATACAGCTCTTTCCTGATCCCTTGTAACTTGCACGCAAGTTTGAGGTAAGCTAGGTTCCAGCCTTCTAGGTTAACCGCCCTTTCTTCCAAGTAAACGCAGTCTCCTTCAAAGTAGAACAAAGGTACGTATGTAGTGGCACCAATTCGTATATATGGCACACAGTTTTGTGATGACACCTTGATGAATCCACAAGGTTGTTTAGTCTTATCTTTTTTAATAAGTCTTGAATAGCAAAACTCTAAGAATTTCTTCAATTCGTTCAAATCTTCTAGCAAAATTAGTAGGTCTTCATTTCCAAATTCTACGCTTCCGTAGTACTTATCACAGTGTTTCGTGTTGATTTCGTTAAGCAATTCTGCTTCAGCCTTAGTGACGGTGACGGTTTTGAAACTAGGGCAGCTATATACTTCATCAGTGAAAATATGCATGTATGGGGTGAAGACTTGTAGCTTCACAAGCATCCGTTTGCAAACATACCGCCTCCCACCAGATCGTATGAGGTACGGGATATTCTTATCCTTGATAGTAGTCCATCCAAAGTGTCCCTGGGTTGAAGCGTAATCGTCCGAGGTCTCTTTAACTGCTGGAGCGGTATCATGACGCTTGGCTGTCATAGTGTTTTGGGTAGCCAATTGTGTATACAACTTCATCATCTTCTGGTTAGTCTCTCGGATCTTCTCGGCCATTGCGCTGATTTCGACATCGTCCTTTTCTGGCTTTGCTTCCCCGTAAGGAAACTGCAACAGAAAAGTGATATTGAAACCAACAATTCCAAAAATAATACAATCTTTAATATTTTACAATAAAAACTATATTGAACAAATTGCAAAAGCGTCTTTGGTATCATAATTATGTAAAGTTTGACACGATTTTGACCATGCACGCATACGTAAACTAAAATATTACTGTACAACTAGAAGTTGAACATGTATATGTCAACCGCATGCGCGCGATAGCATTGTGCTCCTGCGCAACTGCACTATCGTTTAAACAGATACAATACAAAATACACTGTTCCTCCACGCATGCGTAGCGACACGGCAACTCGCATGCACAGCTGAAAAACACCACTGCGCATGCTCCTTTCACAATCAATTCTAAACCGACACAACACGCTACACCAGACCAGAGAGCAAAATATGCAAGCGCTTGACTTCCACACTAAAACAATCCCACATCCTAAAAAGTATAACACAGCAACACGGTTATCGCACATGCGCGAATACGTAAAAATGGCCCCAATCAAATTCACGCGAACATATTCAAGCGAGAATACTATCCAAACAAATTTGTAACTTCAAGGATGATACGACATTAGATAAGTTTCCAAATCGTCTCCGGTAATATTACATCAACAAGCTAATGTGATAAATTTAATGACAAAAACACTTCATCAACAAGATTTCAACTATCATCACCCATAACCTTTTGATAAGTTAAATATTACACTAAAAACGAAATCATTATGCTAACATATATGGTTTTAGCATCGATTTATGAGACACAACACAACAGAGATTTCAATAAAGTCACGTTCACCAAACATAAATATTTATCATAAACATCCTTGCTACTGTAACTCAACAAAAACATTCCCCGCACATTTTAAATCCAGAGTTCACCTATTTGACTCCCGATCTAAATATAAACATAAAACCCAACCATCGCTGGGCTCAAACCGATTCTATTCATAGAAATCCTCACTGCGCATGCGCGCGCGCATCTAACCGCCACGTATGAAGGCCATTCAATAGCAGCGCAATTAACCAAAAAAAAAACACTCACCATTGCATGAATCAGGCAATTAACAACCATTATAGAGCACAAAGAAACACATAAAAAGCAGTTTTTCAAAGGTAGACCAACGGTTCAGCTCACACATGTGGTGGCGGGGTACGGAAAGTACAACCTATCGCTTCGGTTGCCTGGCCGCGACTAAACCAATTCAGGAACCGTGGAACTGACGCTTTCACAAGTTACAGCGCGTGTGTGGCAACCGGCTGGGTGACCTTCCCTTTTTCCGTTAAACCGTGCGGTCGGAGTGGGGAGTTGCTAAGCAACGACCTAGAGTCCTCCCCGCCTCGCTACACCGCACCGCCCCGCAAAGTGATTATCTTTTGTTTGCCGAGGGGCTCACGCAGGGGCAACCACGCCTGTTGGTACGTTGGAGAGAGTACGAACGGCGGAATGACGGGTTTTTGTAATGCTTGAACCTCGCTCAGGCTTCGCAACAGCTGGTGCGGATAGAGGACGTTCCAAGGTTAACGGGTTTTTAACCTCTGCTATCGCATGCGAGCTTAATAGCCTGCTGGTAGATAACGAGCGTTGTATTATGATGTATCAGGGTGTGATAAATTATAGTAATTATTATTCTGACATGTTTATGGTTATTGCGTTTTGTAATGACTGCATCCGGCCAAAATAGGTTTCGAATTGTGACAACTCTCACGTTTGGGTTCCAAAGTTGTTTCGAAAATCCTACTTCTTAGTTCATTTTGTTTCCTCGAGTCAGATTTTAGCATTTTCACACTTATGTGTGTGTTAAAAACATCATGTGATAATCTTTACGATTTGTTGTGGATGAACATTCAATGTTTTTTTTATGTTGTACTATAGAATTTGGTAGCTATATTCAATCCATTCACAGAGATAGTACCACAGATTTTGGTAGCCCTATTCAATCTTTTAGGACTGTTCACAGAATTTATTTTAGTAGGCCAACTCGATACTTCAGCAGTGTTCACAGTCACTTTCACAGTGCTTACTGTATATTGTATGTAACTGTGAGCTGATTGTTTCCATTTATTGTCACCGATAATGAATCTTTTTTATGTTGATGCTTATCAGTGCTTATCTGTATTTTGTATGTTCATCTGCCATGTCACCAAACACATAAATTGCTGTTGTTGTGTCTATGTATGTGGATAATTACTATGGATTGTAAATGGTTAGATAGTGAAACATCTGTTTATTGAAAATATTGCTCAGGGTTTCATGAAGAATCGTCGTTCTATCACGTTTAGTTATTCCATCTCACTATTTTTATTGATTCGGCATTTTATGTAAGGATAGTACCTACTGTGTGCTAGTATTTTTAGGTGTTCTTGGTGCTGTTTTCGGAGTTTTTGTATGTGTTTTGTAATGTGTTTGTTAATGGTTTAGGTCAGCTGTAAATATAGCAATTGGTATTTAGACCAAGATGCGAACAAAATTTTATTGGCCCTTCTAAATTAGGGCACTACATAATATGTAGTTAATAAAATATTATTTGATTAACATTGGCTATGGTTTTGTCACGTAGGTTCACTGTGTACGCCGATTGTACTATGAGTAGTGGCAGTGAGTCAAGACTACAGAGAAATTACTAAAGTAACTTGGATTATGTCGTATGATAGCAGCGAAAATGCCGTCAAGTAGGTTCGTTCATTATAGCTCTTCCCTGCACCATTTACATATTATATAAAAAGGAAACTACAGAAAATTTATTGGTGAACTTTTGCAGTGCCGTAGTAAAGAAAATGCTATCAAGTAGGTTTACTCAGCGTATTCCTTGCAGTAATCAGTAGCCGCTATAAACTGAATCTGTATTAACAACCTTTTTATTATAGCGCAGCCTAGTATATAAACTAACGAAAAATATCGTCAAGTAGTGTCGCTTATAGAATCACTCTTGCCATATCCTAGCAGAATGTAGCATAGCAAGTAGAAAACGCCGTCAAGTAGGTTCGCTCACATTCTCTGCCTTGTAATAATCAACAATAATGGAGACTAAAGAGAATTTATCAATGTAACTTTGATTTTGGCAATGCCTAAGCAGTTTGGATTCGCCAACTGATAATACCTTCACGTAGGTTCGCTCAAAATATATTTTACAATACTCGGCAATTAGTGTGAATTGAAACTGGGAAAAAATAAATAATGAAACTTTGATTACGCCCTACAGTAGCAAAATGTTTGATCAGCAAGTAAAAAACGTCGTCAAGTAGGTTCGCTCATAGCATCTCCCTTCAACTATACTCGGTAGTAATTGAGACAATACTGGCTTCATTAATGTAACTTTTTTATGACGCAGCCTTGCAGCTGTTCGGTTTAGCCAATGGAAAATGTTGAAAAGTATGTTTACTCAGTTCTTCCTACCACTATTCAACAGCCACTGCAAATTGAAGTAATAGATAATTCATTACTGAAACTTTGACAATGCCGTACCCATGCAGATTGAACGGTTAGTACGTAGAAGCTGCTATCAAGTAGGTACACTCACTCTCTCGCCGCTGTGAATGGAACTGTAGAAAACTTTTCAATAAATTTATATGGAATCCTAGGAGCTTCTACTATTACAAAGTGGCAATTAGTGTCAAGTAGGTTTACTCTGAGTCCCCCTGCTGCTGTGAACTGAGTCTGTAAATAATTTATCAAAGTAACTATGATCACGGTATAATCTTGCAGACCATATGATTAGCAGGTGCGAAATGCAACGCCGTCAAATACGTTTCCTCACAATAGATCCCTGTGAAATGGGATACTAAAAAAGGTATTGTTGTAACTTTATTATGAGATACCGTAGCATAATAGTTCATAAAATACTACATAGATACCGTAGCATAAAAGTTCAAGAAGCATAAGTTAAAAAGTAGACTACTAAATTAGTATTCACTGTAAATACCTCAAAATATTGGAGAAAAGCCAAAAATATTTAAAACCAGAGGTGTTCAAGTTAAGAGCAGGAAGAGGTACGTCCGTGGACCTGTTGGCGATAGTTTCCAGAGCCGTGGGAGTAATCTTCAGCCATTTTACCATATATTCCATTTTGTCATTTGGACATTTCGTCAATAGTGTCAAATCAAATTAAGAAACTAGTCTACAGAGTGTATAGGGTAATCCGGAAATAGCCGCTGGAATAAGGGAACATGAGTCAGACTGTACGAAAGAAGAATAAAAACATGAAAGATCCTGAAGGTGGGGATAATGTAGAAAAATACAGTGATAACAACGAAGAACTGTCGGACGGAAAAGAACGATGGTCTTGCCCAGCCTGTTGTAAACAGGGACGAGTTACCCGAAGCGGATCCACCTCTTCCACATGCGGTGCTCGTTCAGAAACCACTGCTCCTTTACAACCAGATCAGTCTACCCCTACCGACACTCTCACCCTTATACTTAACCAATTATCAACTATGGCCAGTGACATAAAGGATATTAAGAACTCTCAATCTCAACTCAGAACTGATGTTGCTTATTGTAGAAACTTGCTACAGCAACATTCGGACTCGATCTCTCGGCATGATGACTTAATAGCGGCCTGCGAAACCAACATACAAAATATCCAGGTTACTCAAACAGAGCTGTCTTCTAACATTGCTAATATTGAATCGAGACTTGCAAGATCTATGGAGACGATGCACTCAGGCAACGGCGCTTCTTCTACCCCTATTGCCCCAAGCTCCCAAGCTGAGACAATGGAGTTATTTAGACGTTCCCACAATATCATTCTGAGGGGCATAGCTGAAGGTAACGATGACATAAACATAGTATCAGAGATAATTAGGCATATTGAACCATCTGCCGAAAATCACCGACTCAGCATTACTCGCCTTGGCAGAACAACTTCAAGCAATCGTTTAATTAGAGTTGTGTTTTCCTCACCTATTATCGTCAGCAATATTTTGCGGAAGAAAAACTCCATCCTTAGCCACCCCACGCTTCGTCACGTAAAAATCTCTGACGACAAAACCAGAGGTCAAATGCAAGAACTACAACACCTTCGCGAAGAGCTTAGACGTCGTCAAACAACAGGCGAAAGTAATATTACTATAAAATACGTTCGTGGTAAACCTTCTATAGTACACACAGCTACCCAGGAGATCACACCTTCAAAAAACTGATAAATTCTGTGGCAAACTGGACGGTTTGTTACACTAATATACAATCACTCTTTTCTAAGCTACTTGAACTCCAAGCATTTGTTCGAGACAATAATCCAACGTTCGTTTGTCTTACTGAAACATGGCTCCATTCCAACGTGTCCGACTCTTCCATCAATTTGCCTGGATACTATTTATACAGAATGGATTCACCACGCACTCCTGGTTTTGGTGGAGTATGCATTTATATGTTCGCACGGAAATCGCGTCGGCTTTCTCGGTATCTCCCTCTTTCAGTCCTTTCGATGGCATTGACAATCTATTTTTGGAATTGAGGTGCCCAAATTTCAGCTTCACGATAGGATGCATATATCGGCCACGGCCCTGTTTGGGAGACACACACCTGTGCAGTCTCATTTCAGATCTCTTAAATAAAAACACCAACCTTTTCATAGCTGGTGACTTCAATCTACGTGACATTAGCTGGCCTATGTCAACCATTCCTGAATGCAATTCTTCTTCTGCTGCTTACATCGACTTGCTACGCAACTCTAGCATATCTCAACTTGTTGATCGTCCAACGAGATTCAGGGAAGGACAGACGCCTAGGGCTCTGGATTTGATATTCGTTAACGACGCAGACTTTGTTTCTAATTTAGATTATTTGCCACCTTTTGGCAAGTCTGACCATTGTTCACTTTTATCTTCTCTCCAGTTCAATATAAATAGTCGTTCTACAACCGATAAGTTTAAAACCATCAAAATTGTAAACCACGATGCTCTTAACCAAGACCTGTCTGAAGTCAACTGGCCTGCTTTGCTTAACAACCGTAGCACCCAAGATATGTGGGACACTTTCGCTCAACGAGTCCTAAGCGAAACGGCTGACAATACTGTTGAAAAGAAGGTATACTGTGACCCCTCAAAGCCCTGGATCAACTCTAACATATCGAGGATGCTTCATCACAAGAGATCTTTGTGGCAACGGTTTAGGAGGAGTGGCCATTCACAAGATTACGTGTCTCATCGATCCTTTTCTAACCTCCTATCTAGAACGTTACATAATGCCAAACATGCTTATGAACGAAAACTCGTTACCTCCAAAAATAAGAAGAAGCTGTTTCGGTATCTAAGAACAAACCTGAATTCCAAAGTTTTATCACCTCAGATCCGCGACGCTGACGGTCATCTCCACATGGATGCCACCGAATCTGCCAACTTACTGGCAGAGTCCTTTAGTGATGACTTCGTTGATGAGCCTAATGGAGACCTTCTACCGACCACTATCTGCCATAGGTGTCCCAACAGCCTTTGCGAAGTTGAGTTCCTGCCTGAAGATGTATTAATGCACCTGCGAAATCTGAAGACCTCTTCCTCCCCTGGTAAAGATGGGATGACGGCTGC